AACATGATACCAACAGCGGTGAAGAACTGCCACAACATAACCAAACTACCTCTGATGGTATGGGGAGTGGTTTCAGCCGCATAAGCAGGAACAGTTGCAGATTTAATACCAATACCAAAACCCATGAGAAATCTGGCAATAAATAAATGGTACCATTTCAAGTTAACTAAGGCTTGCCAGAAGCAAGTGACTGCACTGATTAAACAAGTCCAAAAAATTACCCATTTTCTACCTAACTTTCTATTCCAAGAATCACTCATCCAACAAGCAATACAGGAAGCACAAAGATAAGGAGCACCATTGATCATACCTTCCATCAACTGAGGCTCTTCCATATCCAACAAACCCATTACTTTTGGGTAGAAAAGCGTAGCACCGTTAATAACAGACTGGTCCATACCTTGAACAGCAGCAGCCATGGAACCCAAAGCAATAACTTCGACTAACTTGAATGGAATATGCCACCTTTTAGTAGCTTCTCTATTTAATCCGATTTTCTCTTCTTCTGATAAAAAGGGCATTGAGTTAAACTCACGGGGCAGTCTAGCCAAAGCAGCAGCTCGGGAAAACAATTCAGGGTCCAACCCATGCTTGAGAGCATAATTTCTACCCATTTGCATGGTTTGCTTTTCTGAATATTGAGCTAAAATATTACCCTTTTCACCACCACCAGCTTCACCAGTCTTGGAATGAATAGAGTCACTATCATATTGTGGCTGTTGTTTAAGAGATGAAGAAGTGGAACTACTTTTATGTTCAATCAACCCATCAACTCCTACTCCAGTGCCAGCGACCAAGTCTGGATCATCTTCGATAGCAGGAACGTGATGAGAAGGATCAACACCAGCTTTTTCGGGATCTTTAGTCATACTTCAGTCTTTGATTTACACAATTATACTAAAATATAACTTGAAAATGCTAATTTTTAATGAGAGAAACCCCAGCTTTTATACTATTTACACTCCATACAATCAGGAAACGAAGAAGGAGGGGGTTAAATGATCATATTGGGCTATTGATACGCTCAAGCAAATTGAATATTATTAAGAATTATTAGTTGATATTAAGAAAAATTGATGTCTTCAAGAAAAATCTACTTCAAAACAATAATCATATATTCCTGGTTTTGGAACGGCTACATTCACGAGAACCGAGGGGACGGTGGACCCTCGGTTTTTCTCCAGCAAAACCCCCGGTTTCCCCGATTTGAAGACAAAACCAAGGATTTTCAAGCCAGAAACTTGACAGCTTGAGAATGACAAGCTTTGTCTTGACACGAAGATCAATTTTGACGTGCCGTGAAATGTAGTTAACGATCTTTGTTCTGTAGTATAATAGAATTGTTAGCAGAAATGGCTGCAACTCAGCAGTTCCAGGAACAAGATGAACGCGGAAAAATGTATTTTCAGATTAATCTATACGTTAACAACGTGAACATTCCAATTTTAATTGTATGTTATTACCTACGGGTTGTAAGCTTAGATAAGTATATAGAATCTCATTAAATTTATATTAGAGACATAGAAAAATATATCAGAACAAAGATTAAAGGAAAGAATTAAAGATTACACTATTCAACATGAGAAACCTCAGCTTTATCATTCCATTCAGGATTGGTGACAGCCATTCTTTGATGAGTGTATAATGGAGGTTGGTCGGCAACGTTTTGACGTAAAATATATCTTCTAAGATTAATAAATAATTGTTTGGTTTGGTATTTAGCATGCTTTGTAGTACTCACACCGAAGACGTCGTCTAATTCTTCCAAAGTCAAACCTTTAGTTTCTGGTAAGAACCATAACACCAAAAAGAAACCAACAATATTCCAAGCAGCGTAGAAACCAAAAGCACCAGTGGAGGTCAACGA